CAATGCCCCGCCGTAAGTACAAGTCGCTCGAGCTACGTTCAAGGAGAAGTACGTATAAGCAAAACGCAACGCATCGCATGTCGGACCTCGGATCGTACGCCAGCGCGGCCGTCGTGTCGGCGATGACGCACTCAAACTGCTGGAGGGCCTCGTAGACGCATGAGCGCAAGTCGTAGAGGTGGCTAATGTGGGCGCGCCGGCGCGGCGTCTCGGCCAACGACGCCGCGAGGAGGCGCGAGTAGATGGCGAGCGCTTGCGTGAAGAGCCCATTGTGCGAGAAGGACCCCGCGATCGAGAGCTCCATGTGGTGCACGGAGGGTGGGGCCTTGGCCTTGGCCGTCGCGCGGGCTGGCGCGGCTGCTGCGCGCCTCTTCTCCCGCTTCTGCTGCAGCGCAAAGAGCGTGACAGCGCTCATGGACGCGAGCAAGGCGACGTGCCACACGCGGTCCATGGCGAAAGCGATCCGAATACGCCGACCGGATACCGCCAGATCTTGACAAAATGGACGTGTTTATTACGCCTGGCGCATTGGGCAAGAAGTAGCATACTTCCGACCGCCAAGCCGCGCCGCAGCGAGGCCAGGGGCCCATAAACCACTTCAACTTGAGAATTCTTTGTCTTCACCGAGCGTTGTACACCGTGCGTGCGGTTGTGCTATGCAGTAACGTTGGCGTCGATGCAAAAAAGCCGCCGCAGCTTGCCCCGTCGACGCCCCAGGGTGCCATAGCGACGTGGCACTTTAAGACGCAGTCGATCGGAGCTGCTTGGTCCAAGCAGTACGAAAAGGTGGCTGCGTTTACAGCGAAATCAATGCAGGCATGAGGTGGCTTCCTAGATATGATGACAGCACCCGAGGTCCGAGCGTTGCGGTCAAGGGAAGCCTTATTCCCCTGGTCGCGGTGGTGGAACATGCTAGACTGCGGCTGTCAATATCGCTATGTTCCTTTCAAATCCGCTGGTTCGAAAGTCACAGCCCTCGAGGCTGCGTTCTTAGTGACTGACAACGTCTGTGATATGAAGCTCTACGTTGACCCTGCCTACGCACGTTTGAGCGACTCCACAAAGTAAGCGCCATCAAGCACGACGCCACGCCTGGCGCCATGGACACTAGCCCACCATCTTGCAATGTATACGACGACGTTTGAGGCTGCGCCAACGCCTCTTGTGACGTACGAATTGGAGCTGATCTTTGGGTGATTTAGACCAAGTTGTCAAAGAAGATCGCTAGCACTCCATTACAATACAGAGCTATGACACTTGGACGCAGATCCTATCGCGCGATGCCCTTGGTTTCGTCTTGATATAGCCCCGTACATGTACCGCCACCGGCTTGAGACAGCCTACCCGGAGGACTACCGTCAATACCAACAATAACCCAATACTTCGACGCTTGTAGCAACCCTTGTTGCTGCTTGAGGTGCGTTTGCGTACGGCAGTCGAACGGGACTTCTGCATGTCGATCGCCGTCAATGTCCGTGGGTTGCGGCGGCGTGAAGCGCCACAATCCGTACCACAACCACTGCACAACCACAAACACATCCATTGACAGCCGACAGCACAACCTGCGACGCTCGGAGGATTGCCCACGGTTAGCTTTCTGCTGCCCACGGTACCCACGGCATAGTGCTCGCATTTTCTTGCAAGATATTCCGAGTGATGGTTTTTGACGACCCCGCGATTGGATGTTAGGTAGGGATCGACCATCACTCACACACGGTCAAAAGGCAACCTCACCACCTTGGAAACATATACCAATTTACACCGCGTCAGCTGCCTACTGCTACTACTACACGAGACGATGGACTACTCGACGATCCAGCAAGACGAAGTCGAAGCGCTTGAAGCCATCTTTGACGCCCCCGCGACAACCTCCGACGACGGCGTCGTGACGCTTGCACTGCCATCAGTCGGCACGTTTGCGTTTGCCCGCTCTCCGACATACCCGATTGACAAGGCGTGCCCGCGCATCTTGATTTCGCGTCTGCACGACAAGTACGCTACGCTAGCGCGCATGCCGGAGGTCATCGCTGCCATGGAGGCGGCAGGTGCCGCGGCTGTCGCCCACGGCCAAGTGTGTCTCTTTGAGATGGTCGACGCTGGCATCGCCGCGCTTCGTGCCCAGCGCGACGCTGCCAAGGAAAACAAACCGCCGCCACCAGCGCTCTCGCGACGGTCGTCCAGTAACAACAGCAAGCCGCCTGCGCCCGACAAGCCGAAGAAAAAGGCGCCCGCAGCGACGTCGCCGAAAGCCGAGAAGAAGTCGATGCGCACAGCGACAGACGTCATACACCGCATCATGTGGGACGATAGCATCACGCAAACCGAAGTCATTGTCGGGTACCTCGATCGCTTCATTGGCACGGTCGAGCGCAACTTTGCAGCGTTCAACTGGGCCGACATTTCGACCTTGTCGCAGAACGAGACGGCAATCCCGCAGCACCGGATCCAGTACTTTAGATGGCGCGACGAGATCATCTGGGACAAGCGCGTGCGCCTCGACCGCGTCTTTGGCTCGTCTGGCCACGACGTGATTGCGTTCTCGCCGTCAACGGCCGCCCCTGCACCGTTGTCTGCCGTCGCCGCCGAGAGGCCGGCCAATGTCACGTTCCACGCCAACACGGATCGCCCAAACACCTTTTTGTGCTTTCGTATCACGGACACCGCCGTTGTCGACACCTGCAAGCACGCGCAAGCCGCGATCGTTCGCGGCGACCCGCGACTAGCACCGTCGGCGCTCGCACCGGCACGCTTTCACTGTACACTGCTGCTGATGCGCCTCAAGTCGCTCCACGAGATTGCCGTCGCCCAGCGCGTTTTGGCCGAGTGCCAGGGTTTACTGCACACGCTGTGCGCCTCCAGCGTCCGCATCGACGGCGTCAGTGCTTTTGGCAACCGCGTCGTCTACGCCAAAGTGGCGCCGCACGACGGGCTCTTGACGCTCGTGGCGACGCTGAAGGCGCGGTTCGCAGCCGCCGGAATTTCGCTCGTCGGCAACCACGACGTGTACCAGCCGCACGTGACGCTGTGCAAGCTCTCGCGGGACCTCAGTCGCTCCGTGGCGACGATCGATGCGCGGTCGTACGCGGCGTACGCGTCGCACGACTTTGGGTCGCAGGCGATCGCCGGCATGCACCTCTGCGCCATGGGTAACAACGGCTACGTAGCGCCCGACGGATTCTACCAGCAGATCGTGCCGCCCATCGCCAATGTTGCACTGACGATCACGGCGCCATGTGAGCCGTACAGTATCGTCACGACGAAGCTCGCTTACGTGTCCTCGACGACTTCGCCTCTGGTGTCCTCGCCTGCGGACGTGGCGTATGCAGCGATTTTTCTGGACAAGACGTCGCAACAGCGTCTTCTGAGCGCGCTGCCGCCAGTGCACGCCAAAGTGCTCTGCGACCACGTGACGGTCGCGTATGCCCCGAGTGTCGACGTCCTCTCGGCGCTGCACCTCGGAACGACAGTCAAGCTGCTCGTGACGGGCGACGTCTGTGACGCCGAGACGCAAGCTGTGCGCGTCCAGTGCCCAGACGTTGGTGCGTGGACCAACGGCCCGCACCCGCACATTACGATCTCGATTGCGCCGCATGGTGCCGCCAAGAACAGCGCTCGCCTCTTGGCGTCGATGGCCGTCAACAAGTGGCAGACGCCGCTTGCGCTCTCGGGCGCGGTGGGCCTCCGCGTTGGATCGTTCTCGCTGACGACGTTTGCGGCCTGCGCAGAGGTCCTCGCACCAGTTGCCACGGACGCGTCGTCGACGTATGCGCTCAAGTCCCCTGCTGTCACGTCCGTGCACGTGTTTGATTTTGACTTGACGCTTGTGCGTGCCCCGGTGCGCCACCACGGCGAGTCGGTCTTGACGCCGTCCGAAGTCGCGTCGATCGGGCCCGACTGGTACAAGTCGCCCATGAGCTTGCACCCGCGGCAGAAGCTGTTGCCGCTGCCCGCGCTCTCGCACATGAAGGACGTGCTCGGTGCAACGACGTCGACCGGGATCTTGCTCACGGCGCGCCTCGAGCCGCTGCGCGACGCCGTGCTCCGGGTGCTCGACACGTTTGGTGTCACGCCGGACGCCGCCTTTTTCAAGCCGCTCTCGCAGCACCAGGTCCTTCATGGCGACACGGTCGCGCTCCGGGCCGCCGAGAACGCGGCGTACAAGATCAGTGTCATCGC